GATTATGAGCATTTAAAGGCAAAAAAACGTGATCCTTTAATTTTTTTAAAAATTCAATTGAATGAAAAAAAAACGGCTTGATGGATCGAAATGAATCTCTGTAGGGCTTTTAGGGGTACAATGACCTGTAAAAGACACACTTAACATTAGTCATTTTCCCAATATTCTCAATGTGGCACGTGATTTTCTAGAAGACCCCTAAAAGTCCTATTTTTTACGATTCTTCAGTCATGTTAAGGATAAAAAAAAAAAATTCTAAAAAACCGTGCCAGGACCTTGTAGAGAATTCATTCAAGTTTCTGAAACCCACCGTCGATTTTCTGTGCAACCATTGGTTTCTGAGATATCGATGAACAAAGAGAAAATGATCCATTTTCATTCAAAGTCCGATAGCTCAGCGAGAAATGGTCGTATCGAGACCAAAAAAAAAGAAATTGAAATTAAATGAACAACCTATCTAATCCATAAGGTGGTTAAGTTGGAAAAAATTTTTTCAAGTCCGTACACAAAAAATAAGATCGAAAAAAATTTCGCAAAATTTTTTTTCATGATATTCATTACGATTGCGCGATACGTGTTACTTGAAAACATTTTTTTTGCAATATCCAAAAATTAGAAACTTCAAGCTTCAAATTGCTTTTTTTTACTCCAATACGACCATTTTTATCAAAGATACAGCCATTTGAAAAATCGCCGATAATTTAGATTTTTTTTTGACCTCTTAATTTTTTCCATTAGTGTATTTACAAAGCATGATTGTCAAATAAGAGGCGCTACATTAAACAAATCAAGAAAATGTCGCCATTTAAAGCTCTTGAAATTTTGACAATTTCATTGTACCTTCAACATATTGTCACAACTTACCTACAAATATATAGATGAGAAAAAGCGAAAAATTTTAAAGGAGGAAAACTAAAAGATGAGAGTTAAGAATGAAAAAAAAAAAAACGATTCGGATGCTATGTATACTGGACTTACTTTGGCAGAAGCAACGCACAAAGTATGTGGTTAAAGTACCATGGTCTTTCGGGTTATGTCGTGGTCCATGTACTTGGTTTTATTTGAACATTCCATGGCGATAGTTCGAGAAATTTTACCATACTTTTTATTACAGTGTACACAGTAAACAGTATCTGTAAACACAGACAGTGTTACAGTAAACTGTATAAAATATATGTACAAATTTTCGATTCACCCTGTAATAATATTAATTAAAAGTAGTAGCTGACATAAAAGGTTTACGTTGCACTCGATTTGTTTTATGGTGTATGTCATCAAACTTATAACAGTCATTACCGTTCAATCTGAATACAAATGAGGGGCAATTACACAAAGACATAATTACTCAAATTTAACAAGTAGTTCCGGAGCAGCGTAGCAGTTAATTATGCAGGCAATCGCTAATTAATATTTAAATTATATTACCTATATTTCGCTGGAATTCAAGGAACAGGAAGAATCTAATGTAAGAATGAAAACTGTTATATCCATCGCGCGATTCCTATATATCCGCATTTTAATTAGTTCGACCGCTTTAATTAGCAATAAGGTGCACCTTGCATATTATACATATATTAACGTTTACTTCCATTATTAAGATTTAGTATACAACAAAATAAAAAACATACAGTGAATTTAAATGAAGTAGTAACTACAATTATTGCCAAATAATTTTGAAACCAAAATTAGATAATTGTGCCAAAAATGCCTTTGTTCAAGCGATTTCTATTAAAAATACAGAATGTTTATGAAAAACATATTCGCAAAAATATACTAAGATATGTTTGAAGTAGATTCATGGAATTGGAAAATTGTTCGTTTCTCAAAAAACACTTTTCGGAATTTTTTGTTGCAAATGTAATTTAAAAAACACTGAAAAAAAACACGTGGCAAATTTCTACGTCACCGAATTTTCAAAAAACACAGTGAAGGTGCCTTACACAAAGGTATCCTTCCTAAAAACTTCGTTTCGGAAATAGAATGCATTAAAATTCCAAAAAACTCTTACGCCACTAATATTTAAAAAAAATTGTAAAAATGTTAGATTCTTAATACATATAAAAAATTATTATTTTCCCGTAATAGTTTTGTATTAGGTATACTATTTGAAAACATGGGAGAAAAAGTTTGTATAAGAGAATATCACTCATCATTATCTGTAAGAATATTTGATAGAATGGAATCTTAATGGTAAAACATGTTATTCGTACATTTATAAAAAAAATTCTATAACTGAGTTTACTATACCTCAACCATTTTAATTACACAACAAATAAAAAAATGTTAGATTCATTCTATAATGATTTCATTAATTATTTCAAACTGGTTTACAATTAATTGATTTAATTATCAACTATTTTAATTGAAATCGAAAACATAATCCATATTTCCACAACTTTATTAATTAGTTTAAACTGGTTATTAATTAAGTACTCGTATATGTTAATTTCTTTTGGTGAGATTTAAAATTAATTTCAGAATTAAAAATTTAAACTTTGTAGCATCCTTAAAAGAAATTCTAAAAAAAGTCTTACTTTTAAGTATTTGCTTATGACTACTTTGTAATCTCGAATATATCATTTTTCAAGTCCCTTAACTTTAATTTTTAAAACAGACATTTTGCACAATATTTGAATAATTGAGTGTGAAATTAAAATGCACTTAAAACATTAAATTATTCTATGGTTTTACAAAAATTTGGCATTGTCAAAGTTAAAGATACAATTTTCTTAATTTCAATTAAACTAATGCAAAAAATTAAAGGGTCCAAAGAATTTCCGAAATTTATCCGTGATTTTTGACAGATTTTATTTAGGTGAAAAATGGTTGTATCAGAAATTAGGAAAAAGCATTTTCAAGCTCTAAGATTCTAGTTTTTAGATCTTTCGGTCGAAATTTTTTAGGAGCTATGGTTATCATACAATTCTAAGAAATAATGTGACAAAAATTTCGCAAATTTTCCACGAACTTGGAAAATTTTTTTTCAGCTAAGGCATTGCATGGACCAGATTGTTTGTTGCTTTTTTATTCAGATTCAATTTCCTTTTTTTTAAATTTCAATACGACCATTTTTCATCGAAATATCGGACTTTTAGTGGAAAAGGATCCTTTTCTCTTCAATCATCCATATCTCGGCGACAAATGATCGTACAGAGAATTGAAGTGAAAGACAGTTTTGAAAACTGGAATAAATTTCCTATAACATGCTGCCACAACTTTTTGGAAAGAATTTTTTTTTCATTTTTTGCGAGAATTTTAAAAAACAGAAACAAAAAAGGGTTTTTTAGAAAATTGACGGCTAAATTAGAAATATTCACGAAATGACTAATGTTAAGTAGGACTTTTACAGTTCAATATACCCAGAAGAACCCTGTGAAGTTTCATCTCGATCTAGGGAACCGTTCTTTGTTTCAAAGTCAAACTTCTGAAAAAAATTAAAGGGTCACGTTTTTTGAGTCCTTGAAATAGACAAAAAATAGCAACATTTTTTTGTCGCCTATTTCTTGGAATTGCATGATACCGTAGCTCCCAAAAAAATTCGACCGAAAGATCTAGAACCTAGAATCTTAGAGCTTCAAAATGCTTTTTTTAATTCCCGATACGGCCATTTTTCACCTAAATACAGTCTGTCAAAAATCACGGAAAAATTTCGGAAATTCTTTTGACTCTTTAAATTTTTCGCATTAGTTTATATATGTAGAACTATGAAACATTTTATATTATTTATAAGGATTTTACTTATAAACCCCATTTTTTTACTTTTTGGAAGATATTAAACCAATATTAATTAATTATACACTGGCCTAGTACAAGCCTTGAAAAAACGTCATACATAGTATATTTTATTTGTAATATTTCTTAAGCAGTTTTTCTTATTTTGTGTACATAGGTATTTATATTCTAATTTTTTTGTGTATTTGTTACACTGTAAATTATAATGTTTTAATATTCAATAAACCTTTACCCCACAAAAATCAGTTAGGGCAATTGTAACAAACTTAATTTACTTTACTTTGAAATCTTGCAAACCATTTGAAACGTTAACTTACGTACTACCTAAACTGTGAAATGTTTGTAGTATCTATACGTCTCATTGTGTGATTTCAAGGTAGGAAAAAATAAGTTTGTCAGGTTTTAAGTGATCCTTGACGGATTATTGTGGTCAGGTATTTGTTTTTCTATTAAAATAGATCGTTTGTGATGTAAAATACCCAAAAAAGAAAAACTATGAAAATATGTTCTTCAAAACTGCTACATGTCAAAAAAGGGACCTTCCTATAAAACTATCGTCAAAATTCCAAGGAATATGGAAATTATCTGTGTGAATATTCTCGACTGTAATAGATACAACAGGTGTAAAAATATAAATGAAAATGGTAACAAGTATATTATTTTATGCAGGTATGCGAATAAAGTTTGATTGGTTTAAATACAATTTTTTTCTAATATTTCAAACCTACACCTAGATGAATTATTTATACGAGATACGAGTATATACGTTTTATTTCAATAACGCTTGAATAAAATCGTTAACTCCAAAACTGTTTATACATTCCAGTATTTTGTTTTTGTTACAGTTAGATCAACTGCAATTTTACTTAGCTCCCAAAAATTTTTAAATGTTTTATTATGGTGTTGAATTCGCTAGAAACGAAGCTCGATTTCATACAACAAATTTGGAAAAACTGTACATTACTCATTGATTCGTTGCCAAATATTCGGAAAAACCTAAACACCACTACTAAAGTTAACAATTTCTTCAATGTAATAAACAAAGGACTTTAATATAATTATAATAAAACCATTTCTTTCAGAGGATTTAATAGTAATGATTAATTTACGACAAAAAAACCAAACTTAATGTGTATTGTTCCCACGAAAAAAACTCAAATACTTGCAGTTTTCAACCAGTAACGTTACCTTGAGTCAAAATCGAAAGCAAATGAACAAGAACGAATCTGCTATGCCCCATAAAGAAAGAAAACACTACCGGAACTTACACAACTGATTCACACCAATTTTCAGTAGGCACAAAACTGAAGCACGCAGGAATTCAGAAATGTCTACGACTTGTCACTGCAGAGTCTTCTAATCGTCAGATTTCAGTGACGGAACTACATTTCAGAACACGAGGTCGATTGGACTGGGCTCAACGGGCGATGCGATCACTCACTCCGTTCGGCGGTGACTAAAACAAAACACTAATACCGCTCCTGCTGGCTGCAGGAAAGAAAGAATCGACAGGAAAGTCCAAGTAGCGCCGATCAGGGGCGTATGAGGAGAGATGGCAGGTACTGGAGGCATATAAATGTTTAAAATCATGTAAAATGTACCGCATCCATGTTGAAATAAAAAATGTTAAAACCGCAAAATATGCTAAAATCTTCGAAAATAATTTGTGGTATACGTAATTTGTAATGGTTTAGTTCTAGTTACACTATCTCAAGATATCTTTTATAAAATATTTATGTTTTGCTTAAATAAAGTAACAATGTACAGGGTGTCTCAGAGAAAAGTACTAAACATTCTAAAAGCGTATAAAAGATAATGCGATTCCAAGGGTAGGGAATATTTCCATAAGTAAAAATGTTGTGTTTACTTTCCTTAAAAGTATTGGCTTCCATTTATTTGTTTAAAAGAGGTAAACACAAAAAACAAAGCTTCAAACGTATTATTTTATAGATTCTCGAGGGTGTACATTACGAAATATTTATGAGCTTTTTAATATTTTCCAGAAAAATCGTGTTTTCTTTGATTTTTTTTATTTTGAATATTAAAAAATAAAAAAATATAATGAAATCGAAAATAAAATTTAAATTTGATGACAATAGGAAAGGAATTTTCTGAAGCTGCAAAGGTATAATAAAAAAATTATATCAATATATTTACCCATTTATTTATAATTAAAAAACAACTTTTTTTATTTATTATTTTTAACAATTTTTTATGGACCTCCATATCTAGGTTTCTTAAGTAAAACTGTTTCATTGCTGCCGCAATAAAATATTTAAATAAAACAGATTTTTCTGTAAAATATTAAAAAACGCATAATTAATTCGTAATGTACATAATCGAAATCCTATAAAATGATAGGTCTGATGCTCATAAATAATCAAACCTCGGAAAACTGTATAAAATATTCCAAGAATTTTCCGCAATTTTCTTTTAACTAATTCACTTTTGTTATTTAAAAATTTGTTATTGTAAGGTGTGGTGGTAATAGTTTAAATAACTAGATAGATTTCAGAGTGTACGATAATTCAATAATCATAGAAATCTAAATAAAAAATTTAGATAAATTTGAAACGAATTGAAGATGAATTTTTCGAGACAAAACGTCTGAATCTGGTTCGGGCTGAGGTAATACAGTCAGTACTGGGGGTCATGAAGGCTTGCAAAAAATGTAATAAAATTTCCAGGGCCATATTTTAAAAAATGAAGTTGATGATGGTGCTGGAAAGATGAAACGTTACTTATAAAAACTGGTTATGCCATTTGATAGAGGGCAAACAGTTGCCTTGAGAAAGTGTTATTTTTTTCAATATCACCTCAAAAAAGGCTGAAATGAAACAAAACGGATTTCCAAGATTTAGGCATTTTTCAAATATTTAGAAAACTAATCAAAATCATGTTAGCCATTTTTTAGAGGCATAATGTTGGTCCCCTGATTACGCAACTTTGCCCCCATTTAAACTAGTTCGTATCTCTTACTGTTCTCAAGATCCCTGTAGTGAGAAGCGAATTTGTAACACCCTGTATATATACACGTACAATGAGTGACTTCACTGTAACTATAAACACTAAAATTATTTATATGTTTATAACTAAATTCGGAAATAAAAACTTTAAAGGACAAAATAAAATAAGTACATCTTACAAAAAAATTAACGATAATATAAAACAATACCTTTAAAATAATTTTTTATGTATTTATTTGAAAAAACAATTAGAAACTGGCTATACTCTTCTATAAAACAATGGATATTAATCAAACTTTTTGACAGTACGAAAACCAACCTGTTACAAATTTTAATTTAACACGTGATGAATTATTGTACATACTGTAGAGTATATGTAAAGGGAAGTGTATTATTATGTCTACTCATTCCTTTATCATTCATATGTTTATAAACATGATTGATAAATTTCTCTGAAACCATCAAACAAAACTATGTTAAAAATAATGCTTGAGCATTTTACTTTACTTGTTACATAAATAAAAATGCTCTGATGAAGCAAATACATCTCATTAGAAGAACATCATTGGATCCACATGTACGTAAATATTGGATGATTTTTTTATATATTTATTTTATAAGAGTATACTTCTATAACAATCCTCACATCAGTTAACCACAAAAAAAACCTAAATAGCTACTAATTTTACTGACCATTTGCAAATAAAACAAATTTCAGACAACGATAAAAATAGCGACTTACTGACAGGGCCGGATTAACCTATGGTGAGGCCCGGGGCTACGCAGGTCCTCTTTCTGAATAAAAAAAACGATATTAAATTTCAAAAGCTAAATAGGATTTTATTTGATTCTAAAAAAAAGGTCACGCAATCAGTAACTTCAACTAAATTTCAAAACTTAAATAATTTTTGGTTTGATTCTAAAAAAAAAAAAATTGCCAGATCTTGCCCTCAATCATTTACCTACAGATGAATTTAAAATGTAGTATACAGATAAAACAAAAACTTGGGGAGTTACTTAAAAAAAATCGATCGTGTGCGAATGCATGTGTGTGAATTTTTTTATGGTATCGTTTTTAAATTCATATTTCAAATTATTGTTTTGTAGACTCTCCTACTGCATATTAAAATTTGATTGACTAATCAATTGCCTAATAAAAATTTAGAATTTTTACAGTGACAGGGGCTCTGAAATTTCAATGCATGTTGATTATTTTTGGATTATATAAAAATATGTAACTTTTAGGGTCTCCCTTGACGACAAAAGATCATACAAAAAAAATGTCTTATTTTTTGCTGTTCTATTACCCCTAATTCTATAAATAAGTTTTCCTGAAAATATTTGTAAAAATATCAATCAATTTTAGTCATTTCTGGTGCATTTTTAATCCTCAATTAAAAAAAAATACTTTTTTAATTCACTTGTGAAGAGGGTAATTATCTAATACCTAATTGTAGAATGTTGATAATAAACTAAAAGAATATCTCTATTTATGGTTACTGATTGAAATTATCTTATTAAAAGGCATTTTTTGTCAGTTTCTTTTGACAAAAAGGAATCTCACAGAGAATGATTTTATATCAGACATCTTTTTATAAAAACAATAGGCAACATGATTATTTCGTAAGAAGAATCTTGCTATTTTCCAGTTTTTAAATCACATTCTCTGACAAAATGTAATTTGTAGTAACTCTCTTACTTTTCACCAACTTTTCCAGGATTTTCAGGTCGCTGGGGACCTTGTCAATGTACAACACTAAATCTTAACACTAAAAAATATGTTAAAATATTATTTAGTGCTACGTTTTAATATTTTTCGTACCTTTAAAAGTTACTATAAAAGTTACTATATTTGTTCCGTTTTGAAAACGGAAGTAAAAATACTTAAAAAATTAACATAATGAATAATGACTAAATACGTATTTCTTTTTTCAAACATATAAGAATTATGTTTATACAAAAATAATTTGATTAAAAACAAAAATTCCTACTAATTCTTTAATAAGACTTACTTTTAATATGTAGGGACAACAGCGTCTAAATTTTATTTAGCACAATGAATGACTTTATCTACAGAGATTAAAAGTCAACTACACCACAGCTTGATTTGTTAAATTTAGTTCTAATTAAACATTGTACTACTAAGAACAGGTTAGTATTTTCATTACTTACTAAACTTAAACATTTCGAAGGTTTACAATTTTGGCACGTTAGCAATTAATTTAACACACATATTAAATTGTTATTTTAAATATATTTCATGAACTGAACTTACCAAATCAAAATATTTAAGCGAATATGTTATTTATATTGCTGACTATTATTTATAGTTTGAAGTATACTACCGCCCTTATCTAAAATGCTTTAACTGATATAGAAACGAAAAATTCGCATTGTTGTTAATTATCCATAACCGAAAAATGTGAGGGTAACAGTAATTCCATGGCAATATCATCTAAATCAATTACACCGATTTTCAATCGAATACAAATTATATTTGACATTTAACGTTGAAATAATTTCTTATATTTTTAAATAAATCCATGCAAAAATTCTTCAGCCTGATGGAAAATAGTATAAGCTATACGGTTCAGATGCAATCGCCTTGATTGCAAAACATTGAATTTTGAACCTTATGTAAGTATTATGTCGGAATGTGCATGATTGGAAACTGTTTTGGACTGTTCTAGGAACAAAGCTTATACAAACAGTACATAGTATATACGGGACATTCCACGTCAACTTACACAGACGAGTCGGCGAAGGAAGAAGAGCGCCAGAAGAAAGGATCCTAGTCGGCGGGGCCCAACTAGGACAGGCCCCCGAACTGATCAAACCCGGCCGCGCCTACAATGATGAACTGGGTAAAGAGCGATAATCCCGCTCGACCCGATCCATCCGAGGTCATATATCCAGCTAAGGATATTGGCGTGCACAGGATCAGTGCCCAAAATTTTGAGTCAACTAAAATTAACGATCAAAGGCTCATTCTAAGGCTTAGAATCTGTACTTTTGAAAGCTGTATGCGCTTTTATTTTGGAAAATTCTAAAAATAAGAACGTTGGGTATAGTTATTTTTGTATCTAGTGCGCGAAATGCTACTTTGGTGATCGAGAATCGAATTTTTTAACGAGGCGAAGCCGAGTTAAAAAATTATTCGAGACCACCAAAGTAGTTCGCGCACGAGATGCAAACAATATTTTTTCTACAAACGTCAAAATCTATCTCTTAAAAATATAATAAATAAGTAAAATGCCTAATTTATTATAGAAAATAGTGTTGAGCTGGCTTAAAATGTCTTTCCTAATCAAATTTTCACTGTTACTATGGAAACACAGTGGCTGTTGTTGACAACAATAATAATTATTTTAAAGTGACGTTTGTGCTCGCGTCTTCAATTTTTAAGTGCCAGATATTATTTAAAATAATGGAAGATTCTATCAATAATAAGATTCAAATATCAAATAAAATTTTA